TTTGTAGCAGTCTGGTGGCCACTGTCGCATTTTCATTTGTACACCAGAGTACCAAGTCATCAGCATACATTGCAGCTTTAATTCCATGGGGTAGTTCAGAAAGCAGGTCGTTGATATAGACTAGGAAGAGTGTAGGGGACAGGACACCTCCTTGTGGGACGCCATGGCGCAGCAAAACTTTCTTGCTCTTAAGTCCATCTATCTGTACACGGGATCTTCTGTTATACAAGTATGCTTTGACCCATTTGTACATACTCCCATTCACCCTGCAGTCTCTCAGTTTCTTCAGTAGACCTTCTTTCCAGACCTTGTCAAAGGCTTTCTTCAGATCTATCCATGCCGTTAGCACTAGCTTCTTTTCCTGGAAGGCATCCTCAATTTCTTGTGAAAGGTAAGTTGTCTGGTGGCCTGAACCTGAATTTCACTGTTGTTCCATGCACTCGTGTCCACTACTGAAGATGTTATTCCGCGCCTGACCAGGATTGCTAGGCCTAGGTGTTTACTGTTGTACCTTTGGAAGCCTGAGACATTCAGAGCTTCTTCTGTATTCAGCCGGGTCTCCTGAAGTGCGATTACATCAGCATCATATATCAGTTTCTCCAAGATTGGGTCTCTCTGTCGAACACTCTTGCAGTTCCAGCAAAGAATGCAGAGATTTCCATTGCTAAGGCGTTCTGATTTAGATTGGTTTTTGCATGCACCAGCACGTCTATTGCGTCATTTTCTACCATGTTGTCCTCTTCTCCTTCTGTACCTTGTAGATGCTGTTGCATCGGATCTCAGCATGGACGCACAAAATCCGTAGCTCTGGCGAGGATCAAGTTTATCAAAATGTCTACCATATTTAATTTAAAAAAATAGTGAGGGATTATTAACGGTCACCCCAGTGGTGCCCTCGTACTGGGGAAGGGGCCAGGGATGTAACGCTCATCAGCACGGTGTCACCCCTGTACAACATAACTGCCTTTGTGTGTGTGTGTAGCCTGATAAGATGTCATCACAAAGAAAGGGGAACAGGCAAAGTTGGAAAGTTGGACAACCATAAAGACATGGAATGAAAGTTATATGCATTTAAAAACAAATGTCAGAGCAAAATAATGAACATAAAATGGGAAGCATTCAAGCAGGGTGAAGAAATATGAGAAATGTCTGGACAACCAGTGGTTAAAAGTTAAAAGACAGAAAGTATGTCACATCCTGAGAAGAAAGAGCTGAGAATCCTTAAACAGGTACTTAAATTGAAAACAGAGGGATTGAGGAAACAAGGATGTAAAAAAGAAACTCAAAAGAGATCAATGATGAGAGAAGCCAAAGGTACTGGCTTGATTTCATCCATGATATCATGATACCAGGATAGAAAGGAATGGAAGAACAAACTGTGAGCCCTATGTGAAATATAATGTCATAACAAAAAAATTAATGCATGAATGAATGTGCTTGATCATTTAGCAAACAGCTGCTACAGTGACAAAACTGTGGTGAATATTAATTATGTCTCATAGAAGCAAAAGTCACTGACTCTCTTGGAATTAGGCATCAGTGGACGAAGATTTACAATGCTAACAGATAATGCATTCTAAAAGCACACTCTGATTCTCTTCACCAACTAATTTTTAATGAATTTATTAATTTATTTAATACTTAAAATTACTTCTCCAATTTCTCTTAAGTATTCCTTCCAATAGGTATAGAGTGGTATGTCGGAATTCAAACGTCTCAAAACTTGAACAATCTTGAATCTAAACATAATTTTGAAGTAAGCTTTGTCTCAGAACTTGAATGCCTGGCATGTGCTAATCACATAACTGAGCTGACAATGCAGGAACTTCAGCATCTTCACCAGCAAGAGAAGGAAGAAACTGCAGAAGAAATGTTCTCCTGGGAGGAAGAGCAGAAAGCTGGAAGGATTAGCAGCTGACAATGCAGGAACTTCAGCATCTTTACCAGCAACAGAAGGAAGAAACTGCAGAAGAAATGTCCTTCTGGGAGGAAGAGCAGAAAGCTGGAAGGATTAGCGCTGCTAAAATCCAAGATCTTTTGATCATGCTGTCGAAAATGCAAGAAGCCTTGAAAGGTGGCACCCTGATAGAGCCATGATAGAACATTTTAGAAAAGTTACAAATGGCGGCCAACACCTGAGCACTTTGGAACCCTGGCTGCCAACAAAAACAAGTAACCCTAAACCCTCTACAAGTGATTAATGACTACAATATGATCATCAGAAAGGATTCCTGGTGTTACCATGGAAAGTGCTTCACCTCTCCCTAAATCCCACTTCCTCCTACTTCTATGTCAACATTTTGATCAAGGTACAGTAAATACAATGATTTTATACCTTTTCATTTTATTTTATTTATTTATGTTTGTATTCAGATATGATCATCAAGTGTTACCATATTTAGTGTACTGCATTTGGACACCACAGGGGAAAAGATCTCGTGGAAGACCAAGGGAAACCCTACGTAGAACTATCATCAGGGAAGGCTCGCTCATGGGCCACTCAAACATCCAAGACCTACAACAGATTGCAACGAACCGCCATGCATGGAGAGTCATAACCTCTGCCCTATGTACCGCACTCGACACAAGAGGAAAGACTAACTAACTAACTAACTATTAAGGAAAAAATATTTTAAAATTTGAATTTGTTGGATCCTGGAACAGATTAATATTTTTCCATTTTTCAAAAGAAAAAATGTCCTCGTAACTCGAACGATTTGGAAATCAAATGTGGTCTCGAAACAGATTATGTTCGAATTCCGAGGTACCACTATACAATATTGTAAACTATTTTAGAGATTACAACAATCATCTGATTATTAGGTAGTTAGAAAATACAATAATTTGAAATTAAATTGTTTTTCACTTCTTAAGTCTTGCTTATAAATAATAAACACCCACTAAAGAAAATGATTAGTGAAAATTATCCTTACAACAATCCGTACAGATACATTGGTGCTCAGATCTCCTTCTTTAAAAAACCTGCGAGTTGTATTCCAAACAAAGGTTACATACTAAGTAAAATTTTTCGCATCTAAACAGGACATAAACCATGTTGAACATATACCAAAGCGAACGTATACCGATGCACCACTGGTTTCTGGTTGTTAACAGGGAACCTCATAGCATTCTTAAATGGAATTTCCAGCTGTTGTTTGATAAAAGCATCATCATCTTTTTGCATAGGTAAATTGAAGGTTAACATGTATACTTGCATGTGTGTGTTTAATTACTTATTTTAAAATTAATATTTTTATCAATATGGGGTAAATTTATATTAATTTATATTATCTGCCTAATGACAGTAACTTAATCAGGTCAATGGAAACATTATTATCATCACCATCATGTAGCAGGTCCTTTGCAGAACGCTGCTTTCATCACGGTCCACCTGAAAAAAAAAAAACCCCAGTCTCGCCAGCTCTCCCGCATCATGTACTTTCATACTCAAAGAGTCACTTATATCCTGTGCCCATATTCGTGTTTTTCTCCTCTTTTTTGTCCAAGATATTCTGATAATCTTTCTATAGCATTTCAGCTCAAAAGCCAATATTCTCTTTCTTAAGGACTGGGAGATAGTCCATGACTCACATCCATGTTGCTTCAGGGGAGATGCATGCCCTCACAATTTTAATTTTGATCTCCTTGCTGGTGCTTAACCATAGACTTTTTAGGCTGTTTAATCTTTGCATTGCTATGGCCATCCTCTTTTTTAATTTCTCTCAGACAGTCTCCATTGCTATAGAGACTAGATATTCAAAGTTTGCAACATTTTCAATTTCTTCACTATTTATTGTTATTTGTGGGTGACAGCCAGTTTTATCTGTGGACATTATTTTTGTTTTCTTTAAATTCAAGAACAGATTTTGATCTTTACTGTGCTTTTGGATAGACAATATTAAATTTTTCTATTACCTTTATGCTGTTTGAAAGAAGGACTGTTCAATGTGCGTAGCGAAGTTCCGGAATAGGGTTGCCACCAAGTTTGAGCGGATCAACTGTCACGTCTGGTCATTTTTGACATTTCTCATTATATTTTCTGCATATGTATTGAATAGGTATGGTGAGAGAATGCACCCCTGCCTCTCTCCCTTTGGCACCTCGAACCAATCAGATGTTTCACCAGCTGCTCTGATGGCTGCTTGTTGTTCATGAATATACATGTGTCAAATTAACCAAAGTAAACGTATTACTGATTTTTTTCTCCTTTAACTCTTAGAGTCCCAGGGGGTTTGGCATCAGAGGCCCAAGGGGTAGTCAAAAGAGATGTAAAATCGGCACAGCTTGTGTTCATTGGGCCTCTAGGCGTGAACCTATGAACGTATGATGTGTTCCTTGGGACTCAAAGAGTTAATGTAGATGAAAACAGGTCCTGTTATGTCACACTTACATAATGTAAATATCAGATTTAAAGAAAACTCCTGGTTATTAATGATCATAATGTATATAGCCTTCCACATGTGTCTGTGTTTTGCTAGCATTGCCATCCCTTCCAGTTTGTTTGTTTCCATTTCTGATGTTACCTGCTCAGTGCATGTCTAGCGTTCCTGCATGTGTATATACTAAAGCAGTTCTAGGAAATAATGCACTGAACCTTATGTTTAAGACCTGTTGGATGATTTTAAAGTATACAGTCCAAAGTGTTTATGTTGTTTAAACTACTTAAGGCGCTTGCTATTTCGGAGTGAAGTTAGTGTGCAAACTTTTATCCTGACCAAGTACCAAACTACCATCTGAACAGGAACTGTCATGCAGAGCTCTCCTCTTCTCAAAGCTCAGAAACTAATAATATGGTGTTGCAGAATGGTACAGGAACTACACATTTTCAGAGGCACATAAGGATGTAACAAGGTCATGATACTGAACAGCACATACAGAATGAGATTAGGCCTAGGCTGTTAATATTTCTCTAATGTGTTTCAGTGTCAACACTTATCCAATGTCAAAAAGTGGAGAAAAAAAATGTATATCAGGTAATGGCATAAATAAGTCAGACAAACCTCTAACAGCTGATCCCCAATAACCAATCCTGCCTGTGCTGCTAGGCTGTTGTCGCTGACTGAAGATACAAATATACCTCCTAGTGTTCCCTGCTGGATTTTGAAACCTACTGGTGTAGGGCTTTTCTCAAATGTGATATCTCTTGTTTCATGGTGGTCTGGCCTAAAAATATAAACAAGAAAGAACAATAATCTATCAATGTGAGATCATCAACATTCATAAGCATCACTGTCTCAGTCAGCCCAAAGAATATGTTGTGTTGAAGTCAACTGATTTGGTCACAAACAAGTTCTCTGTTTTCTGCAATTCTCTTTAACTTTAGTACAACAGAATGTGGTCGTGTTGTTCAGAGACCATGATTTTGCTTATTTTATTGGACTGTCTTTGTTTCAAACATGTCAGTTACAGTTGAAAAACGTAATGACTATATTGTTTACTACAACATGACTGAGGGCAGCCGATGTGTGTGATGTGTGTGTTATATGCTGAGTATATGTGTGGTGGATGTGTTTGTGGCTGGAGTATGCCATGGCCTCTGCAGCAATATCAGTATGTACTGCCAACATTTTGTGAGCATGGCAGTCCAGGACTCATGCTGTTGCTGTGGAGTATATGTGATTGAGTTGAGAATCTCCCCCTTCAAGTAAACCTGGGAAAAAGATGACATCTGGAGCAAAGCCAGGAAGAGTATAAAACACACTCCACACTGCTGAAATCCGATATACAATTAACGAAGTAAAGGGAGTTAGCTGAGGTGGGGGGGGGGGGGGGGGGGGGTGGAGTGTGATGATGGATTAACGCTTTGATGTCTCAACTTGTGTTATGCATACACTTACAACTACTTGGCAAAGTAAATTATACCTTACTTCATTATCAATATTTTTTAAACATAGATTCGATAGTAGAGAGTCTGAATAATCAAGCTTCTACTTTACTTGATTTTATTTGAAAAAAATGTGGCAAGACACAAAGCACAAGGTGGCTATAGAGTTACTGCAATGCAAAATACATAAGAAACCTGGTGTAATACTGCACTTTACAAGGATTTAAGACCAGTGATGAATCATGTGTTCAGTCACCTTAGACCTGAAAAAGGCCAACAACTAAGGTCACTTTCACCAACTAATATGTCCCTTCAATGTGGAAGTCGAACATCTCCCAGTGTTTTCTTCAATGAATATCTTCCGTCTGTACCAAAAAAAATATGGTATTATAATGAGGTGTTTGGTCTCCCGAGCTGATAAAAGTCAGCCCAGGTTTGCCTGAAGGTTCTTTCTTGTCTCCACTCCTGTTCAACATCTACATAATCAACATCACAGGAGAACTGATTGGTGGCGGAATGACATCCTCATATACTGACAAGGTAGGAACAGAGCTGACACCATTTCTCAACTACAAAAGAAATCAAACTGTTTACCATCCTGGAGCAGACTGTAAAAGGATTAGACTGTATATAATCATGCAGCAGTATCTCGGGGGCGAAAGTAATCCATCCAAACTGACAAGTCACCTGGTTCTCATTGAAAAATTACACTGTAAAGATAGCAATGCCCCCCCCCCCCCCCCCTAAAAAAAAAAGGCTCTGTGGCGGGGACATGAAGATGTCTGACTAAGGCTTGACAGATGTCTAATATTTAGAAAGAGCATATAGGTCACAATGTTTCCTTAGCCAAAAAAGACCTTTACTGGCAATAAAAGTTATGGTGGCTATTCGCTTCAAACAATATCTACTTGTGGTGCTGCTGTTCAGGGATTAGTAATCTCCACTTTGAGTGTGAACTTTGCTCCACACAGATAAAAAGAGAGGACACAGTGATTATGAGTCAATGAGTTTTATTCTTAGGTGCACTAGGCAGACCTCCTGTCAAGTGATGCAATACACCTTTGACTTTCTCACAATGAATAACAGAATCAAGGTCTCCAGGGCCACAGTTTTTCTCAAGGTGAGACCCAGGACACACTCTTCATGGTGAAGTGTTTCAGCTTAAAAGAACAGACTTAAAACATGTAAGCCCCTGTCTACAAGTAAGAAATACTGCAGGGCAAAGCACCCAAGGTGCGACAATTTGCCAGTATCGAAACTGGGATGTTTTTGTAGTTCTATGTTTGTATGGGGGGACTTCCCCCCAGTCAAAGTAGCCACTGACAAAGAACATAGGAATAGAAAAACATTGCAGTTTCAATACCTCTGAACTGTTGTGCAAGTAACAGAACATGAAAATAATCACGCAATACAAGAAAAGAGAGAATGCTTAAAGCGTTGATAATAAGGAATACATAACACTCCCACAACATAGGAGAGGCTCTGCAACCCGGTGAGGCATGAAGTCACTCTCCTTTTGTGGATCAAAATGTTACTTGTACCAACCTTTCTCAACAATGGCAGAAAAAAACTAGAAGTGATTATGTGAAAATGAAACATGTAGCAACATATACACATATGGTACTAACATTTTTGGCCTATAGATGTAGTCATCACTGTTAGCAGAGCCCTTGTATTTCACGGACTCTCTGTTGTCAACATGAAACATTGGTGACCCAGGGCTGCTCCTGTCTGATGCAGCTGTCAGATTATGGATACACATTACGTCAGTTTTTTTGCTCATTGTACATAATTAGCAAAACAGTAGTAAATTAATATTCATGAGCTATGAGCAGATTTTTACCTTCTGGTGCAAACACAGATGCTTTTCTCAATAAAAACAGATTTTGTAGTGTCATTGCAGCATAAATACCAAGTTAGATTTGGCAATACCTACATCTTTCCCCCTGGGGAAAGGGGGAGAGTGACACTAATGTGACCAATCAGGGGTTTTGTCTTCAAAGTCAGATTCCATCTGCGAGGAACTAACAGTCTTCATACATGTGTCAGATCTGTAAAACTGATATGCACGCAAAACTCAAGTTCAACAACAAGATTAAAGACCAGAAGTGGACAAATAACCAAAAACTTTCCACTAAGAAGAGGAAGAAGAAATAGATACAATGCTGCTGAAACAATTAGTATAGACTATGGTAAATGCTAAAAGAGTTAATGCCAGGAGTAAATACAGTAAAGAAGAAAGGTTGGAAGAAAGCCAGGGGAAGACCAACAGAGTAGATGCTGGAAAGTATGTTATCAAGCCATAAAAGAACACCTGTAACAAAAATGGTAGTATATATGGACTGGCATGGCTGAAAATTCCACATGGGATGAATGTTAACCCAATGACTACCAGACCCATTACCCTTGCATTTTTCCCAGATACTGCATGTTTCTAGTGTCTACTAAAAAATGCCAAAGCTTCATAATATTTAACATAAACTTATATTTTTTACTTTTGAACCACACTGAATAAAGAACAAATTTCAAGAACACAAATTGCATAATCTTGTTTTAAATCATTATCATGTGGTTGTAGACTGGTGCAAAAAAAAAAAAAATAATTGAACAACTTTTTTTTTTGGACAACAATTAACAAACAAAAAAGCCACAGCTTCACAACTATTTAAAATAAACTTATGATATTTGTGTACCAAATTAAATGGAGACAAAATTTCAGTAGTAAAAAGCTGTGCAATCTTGTTTTAAATCATCATCATATGGCTGTAGATTGGTGCATTGAAGGCAACCAAAAAATCTTCTGACAGTACTTTAGATTAACATTTGTTTCCTCTTTTTTTGGCTGAAATAATCCTAAGATGAGAGCTCTGCCTAACTGTAAAATAAAATCCTGCCAGTTCTTCAAAGACATATTTTCTCAACACTGTCTAATTTTTTTTAAAACCTAGAGCTACTGTTGCTTTCTAACTGTCACGTCCATACATTAGCACTGAAATCACACAAGATTTCTTCTTATCTTTGCATTCGCTTTCGTACACTTGGATCAGACCATCAGGTGGGTTGCCTTTATGAATTTACATGTTAACAGCAGGTCCTTCATGGTTTCCCATAGCTTGCTCTGCACACTTTTGAGGCCAAGTGTCTTTTCGAAGTTGCAGGTAGAGTGGGCAGGTCTGCAGAATGTGCTCAGGTGTTTGTGGTCCTGTTTGACAGGCACACTGTGGGGACTGTAAAATCTTTATTTTATGCATATGGTAGTTGAGCCTGCAGTGTCCTGTTCATAGATAGAAAATTGTTATGTTGCTTTCTGTTGAGTTTGCTGATGGGAGTCTTGTGGATGTTTACTGTTAGTTTGTTCTCTCCACCATTTCTTGTAATTTCCCTTGATAAGTGTTCAAATACATGAAAATTAATGGGTGTGCTGAATCTCCTTTGTTCCATTTCTGTGCATGTCTCTCTGCTAACTCATTTCCTGGTATGTCGCAGTGAGCAGGGATCCACTGGAGAACAATTTGATTGTTTTCTGAGAGTCTGTTTAGTTGGTGGGTCAGTTCTCTATCCATGTTGTCTCATGGATCCCTCTGAGTCGCCTGCAGGACTGACATGCAGACACAATGGAAAACAATTTTTCTTTCCTCAAGCACTTTGGTTGCATCAGTTATTGCTTGCTGCTCTGAAGTTCGTTTAGTTTTCCGGATTCGCATGACATTTCTACTGTGGTTTATTATGACTCCCAAAGAGTCTGTCCATTTCTTGACTGTATTTATAGCTTCCTGCATTCTTGTTTTAGTTGTTTTTATATATTCAGCTTGGGTCCATATGGCCAGGTCATCTGCATGTAAGGCTTTGTGAATGTGAGCTGTGAACTGTTTCAGGAGGTCACTGATGAAAAGAATAAACAAGGTAGGAAATATAACACCTCCCTGGGGGACACATTTTTGTAACCTGACCAGCTTGTTCTTGTGTTCTTCTAGTCTGACTCTTGCACATCGTCTGTAAAGAAAGTCTCTAATCCAGGCAAACATATGCCCTTTTATCCCACTGTGTGCTAGTTTTAGCAAGAGTCCTTTCTTCCAGACCTTAATAAAGGTTTAGATCAAGTCAAAGAAAGTAGCTAGCAGTTGATATTTTTTTCTGAAAAGCTTCTTTAATTTCCTGTGCAAGATAAGAGGTTTGGTCATCAGTGCTTCAGTATCTCCTGAAGCCTGACTGGCTGTCGTCCAGTACCTAGTTTTCTTCTAGGAAATTAAGTAACATGCTGTTCACTAATCTTTCCATGGTCTTTGTAAGGCAGCTTAGACAGCTTATTGGGTGGTAACTAAGTTTGTTTTCCTTAGGCATTCCTTTCTTGGCTATGGGGACTATTTCTGCCTCCTTCCATTTCTTAGGAAGTAGCCCCTGAGTCCAGGATTGATTTATAAGATCTAAGAGTCGTTGCCGACCAGCTGGTCCCAAGTGTACTATCATTTCATTTGTTATTCAATCAGGTCCAGTTGCCTTCCTCTTCTTAAGGTTTCTTAATGCACATTCAAGTTCTTGGGGACTGCAGAGTTTATTCATTATATCTTAGTTATTTTCTTGCTTTTTGTTGGTTTTCCTCTGTTCTCTCATTACTTCTTCTTCTCTTGCTCTAGACATGAAGATTTTGCTTTCCTCTGTAAAACTATCAGCCAGCAGGTTTGCTGCTTGTTTACCAATGAAAGTTTTCCCACCATCTTCAGTAAGAGTATTGGCATGGCTGGTATGATTCTCCTCATTTAGACTCTTTACTAGATGCCAAAACTTTTTACTGTCTTTCTCCATGTTGAGAGCTGCAGTCTTTTCCAGCCATCTTGTCCAGATGCATGTCAGTTTTTCTCTACAAGAGTTGAAGATCTTAAGTTTTGTGTGATTGCTGAGTGTCTCTGACCTCTAGATGTTTGACAGTTTGTTAAAAGGCACTATATGCCACATCTATTCTAGAGGCAATTTTTGGTGATGAGACGTTTACATGTTACTTCCTAGCTATGTAAAGCTGTTGACATTTTCAAGAATGAGAAAAAACCTCCAAGTTCAAGGTGGGCCAACGTGCTGAGGAACTGGATGACCACAGGTGAGCTGGTCGTGAACGTTGGACGTCTGGCGGGCGTGCAGGGCAGCACCAGGCGTATGGACTCCTATGGGACATCCACTGTCCTTCTTTAGCAGGAAGGCAATACTAGGGTGACCGGTCATTTCCTGCAGTTACTTTTTTTTTTTTTGCATATGGATTTAAATATACATAGGAATCGTCACCGGAGCTATGAAGCATGTGCTCTGCGCGTGACACATTTTTCAGCAGTTAGTGAAGAGAGAGTGAGGAGAAGATGACAAGGGAATGTGGAGAGAAGAAGGCATAGAAAAAGGAGGGCAGGTGCTAGGAGAACAAGACGAAAAGCAGAAAGATAGGGCTTCAATCATGAAAGAGTAGGATACTGGAACTGTCAGAGTGCTAGGCAGAGAGGTCCTGTACCGCAGAGGTTGATTTTTTATTTTGATGTCATCATGCTCCAGGAGCTAAATGCAGATATCATCGTAGGTAAGGAAAGTTGGCAAATTGGATCTGTAACTGCTGGAAAAGGATTGGCTCTGAAGTTTTTTGATGGCACTTCATAAGAATTATCATCATCATAGTCATCAAACTACAAATTTTTTTACTTTTACATTTAAAAAAAAATATAGAAAATCGCCCATAGCACCAGAAATATTCCCAAAATTGTGTCACCAAGCCGGCTCTGATGATCAGCCACCATTATCAAAACATCCGCCTAACACGTCACTAACACAGGAGCTCGCAAAAGTTTTTTTTTTTTCAAATTTACTTTAAACACAACAGAAATGTATCGCATAAAGATATGTGGAGAAATAAATGGATTAAGAGCTTCAAGCTACATTGATCGCATATGGTGCAATTTCTGAACAATGATGGCCATCCAAAGTTATGATTAAAAAGGGGTGCGATGAAAGTAGCCAAGTGTAACAGTCAGATGATTGTATAACATGGTAGTCAGTGAGTTAAGAAGACTGGTAATGGAACAGTACTCTCTTGTGAATATCAATACTAATAAGATTTTTATTACATTAGAAGTTGTATAGTAATCTGGGTGCATTTAACAACAAAGGCTGGTGATTTGTGTATGATGATAGTCGCATAGATTATAATGCAACAAATATACTTTTAATATCAAACATGACAGGTGATCAATGTGAGGAGGAGAAATAATGTGTATTGCATGAGCTTATCTTCTTGACCAAAACAGGTAACAATGAGCATTTAAATGCAACAGGGATGAAACAGGAGTGAACTGCTATTGGCCATGTTGAAAGTAAAAGTACGGTGACTAGTATTAAACTAAATGAGTAGAAAATCAATAGCAATTAACATGCTGATATTTGTATTATGTCTTTATCAAGAACAAGGTCAGAGTAATGACAGAGCATAACTGACTGAAAAGAAGCAAGAGTGAGGAATGCTATGGCTAGAGGTGGCAGAGAAAGACAATCATGCAAGTGATACAGGTTAAGATGTGCTTATGGTAGAAGACCCCTCAAAAAGTGTTGACAATTTTCAAAATTAAAATGTAAAAAAAAAAATTTGCATATTTGGAAACTAAATGCATTTCTTTACTAACCTGCTAAGTTATTTAAAATTAAGTGTCACCGTTTTCATGTTATATTCATATGTATGTATCCCACTATCACCAGATTCTACTTAACAATCAATCTTTACATTTGGATATATCAAGTTTAATCAACTATATTTTATTGCAACAAAAAACGAAAAACATTATAATCTTAAACCTACAGGATGTTTACAAAAACAAAAAACTTTATGAACGGAACTTACTTTAATATATGACCTTTACCCCTCAACACGTTACTGATTCTTGACTACTGTGTTGCAATTTTTTTTTATAAATGACCTACAAATGTTGCATTTTGTGCTTTTATCCATATGTAAGGCTAAAATAGTGTCTGTTTACTTCTTCTAAGAGTAGGAAACAAAAAATATGTCTAGTAGCTCAGTTGAAAGAAAATGTTGAGGTAATAAATATACTGGTTCACTTATCAGTAACAAGGAAGTAACTGAACAACCAGTTTTCAGCTATGAGAATATTTACCCATCTGCCAACAAAACTATACTGCAAGAGCATAAATAATCTTCCAATAAACAGAACAGAAGACCTCAAAATGGAGTTATCATCATGCAGTTAGGTCTCCTATTAATATTGTTTATCAAGCAATGTGACATGTGCAGTAAATATGAACTGAAAGAAGATTCAGAAAGAAGATTTTCACACAACATCACAGTTAGATAGTCATTATATAAATGGGAATATTTTGCTGAATTCAAATTCAGGTGCAGTTTATAGTGCTGTGATGTTGATATTTATTACAATTTCTGACAAATGATTCTGATCTTAGACAAATGTCAGCTATCAGAACAAAATAATAAATTTTTCAAAGTGACATTTTGCCAAGATACTTCAGTCACTTTTCCATTTCAAAAGGAGAGTTCCTAGATGCAGAGATTTAAAAAAAGCTGAAAGAATATAAAGATAAGAATTACGACGACCGATCGGTATTTCATTAGGACTGCTTAAAGAATGACAGAGTGTTTGAAAGCCTGCAGTCCTGCTTCATCTTTCTATTAAATTCACCTATAGGTTACTTGATCAATGATGTCTATACAATTCTCAAATCTTCAGTTACATAAGTATCCGCTGTAAAAATGGAAATAATAAAATTACATGTATTTGAAAACCTTGGTCTATAGGTAAATAAATTTTGTTTTACAACTGAACTTTTGAAGATTGTGGCCTTTATTTAAGAAAACCAATGCTTGAATTTCTGAACATTGTGGCCTTTATTTTAGAAAACCAATGCTTGACATTATTTCAGCAGACAAAACTGTCAGTAATCAATGTAGTTTATAATGGAACTGATGTGCTGTACAGTCCTTAGGAGACAACACTTGATGCAGTTAATTTGTTAATTTGTACACCCCTGACAATATATTAACACAATTTTCCAGAACTAACAAAAAAATTAAGGAATTCAAAAGAACACTGTTAAATATATTGTCTGAAAATTATATCATCATCACCATTATCATCAGGTGCCTTGCTGACTGGCGTGGGCAATCATGCCTCTCCATAATCTGCGATCTCCTGCAGCATGTATCAGTTCGTGTGCTGACACACCTCCATGCCATGCAACAAGACTGTCAAGCATCTTCTCTCGTTGTCTTCCTCTATCCCTCCTTCCACTCGTCATAAAATGCGTCAATATCTTCCTCTGAACTATCTGCTGTTGGGGCATAAATCTGTACTAAGTTGATGTCAAACGGTCTGCCGCAAAGTTTTACTAATAGTACTCTATCTAATATTGTCCAAAATCCTTTCTGAAAATTATAGCAACAGTTCTTTGTGATATTTAAAAAAAATGCATCCTAATGCTACAATTTTGTCAAAGTACTATCTAAGCATCTTAATTTTTATCGGATATGTTGCGTTAGGACTTCAACTACACTTTCGTTTTCCAGTTTTTATTGATTTACTGGTGATGTGATTTTACGCCAATGAAATGCAGATTGATATAATGTTTCCAGAGTTATTACCATGAGATATACACAATACCACATACCTATTTCTAAAGATCCAGATTTTGTATTTACGCTGGTAGCAGATGGAATGCGAATTCGATCAAAAATTCGGTCTCTTTTAAAACCAGCAGGTCTGCTGTCATCATCATGAAATGTTTGACTGTGATAAGAACTGTGGTGATAATTTTGGGAGCAGAACTCGTCACTCACAGTGGGAGTGAAACACTCAGAAATACTATAACTCTGAAACAATGCAATATGAGAAGACTTTAACAAATAATAAACTGTATCAAAATAATGTTACCTTTCACACAACAAAATTATGCTTCCAAGAAATACAAATAAATGTTTCACCATAGCATTTATGTTTTTCTTTGTTCCTTTTTCAGGAAGAGTTTGTCATAATGTCAGTATACATTATTTGCGTGAGATCAGATGTATTTTCTTCAGACAAATTACATCTAAGGTAACTCACAATAGTTTTTACCTCTCTATTAAGCCTGGTAGGACAGCTACTTAATAATATGTGCACTGCAAATTCAAACAACAGTGGGATTTAAAAAGGTCAAAGGGTATACAGAACATTCTGATTTTCTTTCTATCCCACAGACCAGGGGCATGTGTGTATTAATTAAAAAAAAAAAAGGTAATTGTATAATTTTCCAGGTAAGGTGGAATCAAGTAGCTTTGGAGCCATGTCTCCATCAGCTTATATTTAAAAGACAATATCTTCTTACTAAAATGCAGCATTTTGAACATGAAATGAAATTCTAAAAATATCTTATTTGTGGCTAGGGAAAGTACAACTACTCATTTGGTAGTCTAAAACCCTAATCACTGTCAAAATAATCCCCACAGGACTGCTAGTGGTCATGCTACTTCAGGAAGCTTCAAAGAAAAGACTCTTAAAAAAAATGCTGGAGAGTATGGATTCTGAAGAACCACAGGAAGTGGTTTTTTTTTTTAGGTCACAAATTCTGCAACTGATTTTGATTTTCTTTACCAAACACACTTGAGGTCTCTTCCTTGATTTGTATTTTTGCTTTTAGTCTCACAAAACTCCCTCCCTACTTTCAGAATTAGGACTGGCTGTTTTGTGTTGTGTTGAGATCCAATATGTGGGCTGACATATTCTTGTAAAAAAAAAAAAAATGATACAAACACTAGATTGCACAATATATTGCCAGGCATACTGCAACTGTCTAGACAGTTACTTTTGAATGTAGTTAATTCTGTGTTTCAGTTTGAATTTATTTACTTGCTTCATTTAACCAACTGTTACTGTAGTATGCACCTGCCATGATACAGTGAAATATACCAGGCAATAAATTGTGCAATCTAGTGTTTGTGTCTTTTTTTGTTAGAATTCACAAGGGAAAAATGCAGCTTAAATATTCTTGTAGTTTTTAATTCACAAGGTTTTTGTCTGTGTTTGGGATAAAGTCTTTTTTTTTTTTTTAAATGTCCCTTGAATATTGAGTTCCACAATCACATTTTATTGTTAAGAAAAGACTGATTGCTTAAAAACTATTACCTTCTGCGATGGACTAGGTGAGCTATATCGTTCAACTGGAGCCCCGTGGAAAGACAATGGTCGATCATGATGTATATCTAATGAGTTGATAATTGGGAATGTTCCAGATGGTGAGGAAATCACTGAAAGTTGACCAACTGATTTCATAGGTGAAAAGCTTGGGAAGAAACAGCATTTCTACATTAGTAAACATACCCTTATATGCAGCTTGTTTCTGAAGCAACAGTATATAATCTTTTACTGCAAAATATATAACACATGGTCCACATCACTGACCAGTATTATCTCCATTTCTAAATTACGATTGTCACACTTCTAAACAGAGCCTTAGTAGCAGTGCACTCACCTGCAAGGCCTTGTGGTACTAATTTCACATCCCTATGTAGATGCACAATTATGTCATGACCATATTGATTGGGATCTGCGTTAGCGCAGTCGATAGGAGGCTCGCTTTCAAATCCAGCCTCGACGTGCTGCAGCCACAGTCGTTGTTCAAAACTGGGCAGTTTCCGGGGTTCACCCAGCCTCTAGGAAATGGGTACCAGAATTGAAACTCTGGGGTGAATGGAGGAACGTCACTGTTGCTACGGAGTTACGTGCGGACGGCGGCACAAGAGGACAGTTTCTTATCAGCTGTCCGTACTGGTGGCAGAGCACTTATGGTTTATAGCCGCGTGCAATGACGATGGTTCACATCTTCCGACTTTACCTTTACCTTATTGGTAAACAAGAAAATGGATGTAAAATAGATAAAAATGTAAGAAAAAATGTTTTTTTAAAGGGTTCAGTATTGGGCATCTAAAATGCTGCCCTTTCAGCCTCCCTACCGTCCCACATTATTTCATTTACATATATTTTAACGGCCAATAATAAACATCAATGACAACAACTAAATACTAATTACAACTGCTGGAATGTGTTAACATTTTGCCTACATTTCTAAGCAACAATAATTCTTAGACATCCTCTTGTATCCTGTGAGGTGCCTTTTGCACATTCTGTAATTGCTTAACTGCTGCTCACTTGGCTCTCCATGCCTGTTCTACTTCTTGGGTCCACCACTGAGGCTGCACAAAAGCAGAGGAGGTAGTTCTGCTGTATACCTTCTGTTGGAGGCATCCAAGAAGGGTACTGTCCCTCTCATACTTAGAAGTCCTGAGCGTTCTCACAGCCCTGATCTTGAAAGCTTTAGAAATCAAAACTAAGCATGGAAAATGGTCACTCCCAAGATCGCCTAACACGCTCCATTTTGTGTCCAGCGCTGCTGATTAGGTAACAAAAGCCAAACCAATAGCTGTGTCTGCATTACCAGCTCTCATTGCCATTCTAGCTGGCCTTCTGTCGTTTATACAGACTATGTTTGCAGCCATCATAGCCTTTGTTAAAGCATTTCCTTGTCTATTTTCCCCAGTACTATTCTATGCTCTGTTCGCTCATTGAAACCAACACAAATGAGAAGCCTATTACCTGGGATTTCCTTGAACTCTTTGAAAGAGTCCTAATGTTCCTTTGCGACAAGAGATTCAACCGCAGCGTAACAATTTACTAAATTCCAAGTTGTTTCCCTATTTTCTATCTGTATACCCTGAACACACTGCGGTGTGGCCAACGCAGCTATGGGGACCGAGTATTCGCCGGGATAAGTGGACACCTCTGGGGTGCCCTCTGCTGTTAGCAGGAGCATCACAGAGCAGGGCACTCACTTGCCCTAGCAATTGAAAAGGTTGCTGAAGGCTGAGGACGTGGTCTAAAGCCATGTGGATGTGGAAAGCAACGGGAAACTACCACATTACTATCCTAAGAAACTCATCATGGAAGCCAAAAATGAAACTCAAAGATCTGATGGTGAGGCCCCCAGGCCAGGCAGATCACAAATGCGAACTGGGGAAGAGAACGATGGCAGAGCAAGTAAAGGTAGTTGTGCCTTAAGTCCGACAGAAAACTCTGTCACCGCTCTAAGGAAAACTTTAAAGTTAGGGAAAGTTCATGAGGCAGGAGAACTGGCAAGCGACCGAGTTTCTTACAGGCAAACGGTGATGAGAGCGACGTTCTGCAAAGGACCTGCTACATGATGGTGATGATACCCTGAACTTCCCTGGTCCAGGTCAATACCAAGCTCTCAAGGCAGAACAGCTGCACAAAAGATCAGAATCTACAGCCCTGGATCTCTTTGATCCTTGTGTATTCTGGTGCACAATAATCAGGATGTAATTATGTAGTGGTGAAGTTAAGCTGAATTTGCGAACTGACACTAAAGGAATTATTCTGATACTGGATACAACAAGTAATCATCATCATGTGGCATAACAATCACTGATCAAAATCTACTGCAAATGTGATCAAAATCTACTGCAAATGTTCATTAACTGGTGCCTAAGCAGAACACACAAATCAAAATGGTATGACAGAATCACTAATGTGAAGCTTTGGGAAAGAAACTAACAAATTACAGTTAACATGAGGGGAGGAGCATACTGATGCTGGATATGACAAACACAGAGAGGGGAGTGAGTGAGGGAGAGAGAAAGGGAGGGGGAGAGAAACACAATAGAGATGTAGGGAGATTTAAAAAAAAAAAGTCTAAGTTGTCAATCTGCAGCTTCTCAAGAAGTATCAAACTAGCTTCTGTGGTTGGAAAAAATATTTGATTTAAAAAAAGCAATGCGGTCACTGTATGCAGCAGGGCACTGTGTGTTTTCTTGGTCAGTATCTTTACAGCCAGTCAGCATGTCCCACTTTCTTAGCCATTCAGCAAACTGTTCAAGATAATGTACTTGTTCATCATTATTTGACAATATAGGATTTGAGAATGAGTTCAATATTTTCTTACCTACAAATTTACTTTTCACATTAACAATATGTCACCATCTAAGGATGGCCTCAAAAAAATCTGCTGTTTCATTACTGCCCACTAGATGCATAGCAGCAACATTGTATTCATTAAAAATTGTCGAGGCAAGAGGAACATTCTGTCTGTCCATGCTGGAGGAATAGTTGGCTTTGTAGGAAAGTTTAGGTGCCAGTTTTACAATATTCTTTTGCTTATTATACTAGTTTTTTTTTAAATGAAAATTTTTTAGCTTCTGCAGCTCTATCAGTATCACAGGCATTTAGCATTTGCCTAGTTATTAAAGAATAAGTAAATGTCTGGTCTGTGTCCTTCTGGTTGATCCAGTTCCTCCAAATGCATTTCAGCAAGTGCACAGAATCATGCAGTAGAAATATTTTTTTTTAAAATCAGCAAAATCTGGGTTCTCAATAAATGTTTGGCTTGGTTTCAGCAGACCATTACAAACTCTGTGATTAATGGCACTATTATCAGAAAATACAGCAACTACTGTGAAGCCACACTCCTGTACATAGTGGATACAATGGAGTAATTTTAAATGCAGATCCTGAGATGTAATTCTGTTCATAGGTGAAAGTTCTATCACTTCCTGATAGCTCCCAAAAACTGAAGAAATGAGGAAAGCTTGCACTGTTGTTGCTGCTTCTTTTGCACTGTCTGCATTGCCAAACAGTTTGCCCCCAGAGTAAGTAATTGCAGATTTAATATATTTTATCCATGAGTTGGGTTGAGTTGTCAAGAACTGAGATCACAGCACTCAAGGCATTCCCATGCATGCTCCGTACTCATCTTCAGCAGCCAGCGCAGAATTCCAATACTGATGATACCGGTCACAATCTGGTTATATGTCCGTCTTGCCTTTCCACTGAGTGTAGTGAGCCAGCCGGACCCTCTGGTTACATCCTGGTGCCTGATTCTCTCCAGGCTATAAAAATCTACTTTCTGTACTGATTCCGTTGCTTGTTCCCAAAGGGTCTTGACCACATATGCCTTGACATATATCAGTTCACCACCCAGTGGTGCAGATCCAGCCAATCTGTCTGCCTGTTTTTTACCTGCCACACCGGCATGGCCTGGAGAAAAGATCCAATGAATGCTCACTACCTGTGACCTTTCCAGTAAAGCTTGCCACTCTGCTCGAAGCATCCCCATCTTCAGCTTTCTCAGCATGCTTTCAGAGTCTGTTACAATTATGACATGTGTATGCATCTTGTTCTCTAGCCACTGGAGAGCTGCAGTTATCGCCTCCACCTCCATTCTCATGCTAGGTGTTGTGGTGTCATATGCTAGGCTGTCTTGCACTCAAGATTTTCCATTAGCTTTCGCTACGAACCCCCAGACACTTCATCCATCTGAACCACTACAATCTTTCCTAGCTCAGTCAGTTTGTCCTTTTTAAATTTCAAGTACTGTGAGACGCTGCTAGGATCAGTAGACAATGACAATTGTGAAGTTAAAATTTTCAGTGTTCTTTGATGGGGCAGGCACAACATACAATTATATACTGTTAGCATACTGGAGATTTAACGAACAGCATAAAAGTGAAACACAGTGTGGTACAACTATAACATTTTCTGGTGTTTTTTTTTTAAAACATTAACAGTTGCGGCTGCTCTGCAGGAAAGTTAATTTGTGTGTCAGTTACTTCATCAGCGGTTCCTTTAGAAGTACTTTGCTATTCTGTAGCCCTTTTAAAAATACTTCCAGCTTCTCCCATTAAATCAATGAAGCTCTCTGAGCACTGAATTTTACTACAATCCCTGGCACTGTAGTAAACTACCAGGTTTTTAAGCTGTGACTATCTCACAAGTTTATTGTTGTCGACAATCCATTTAAGGACTCTGTCATTAACCTTTTTATTTTTAACAAATACTTCTATAGTCGTATCAATTAACGCTTTTATGCTGACATCTATTGGTGATGCAGAGTCTGACTGTATGGTAGTGATATTTAAAACAATACATGCTAAAGCTCCATCTATAGAAGTGTATTTCCAATTTCTTTCAAACTGTCCTTTCAGTTTGTTTTCTATCTGTGACTCTAGATCTTGGAAATCTGTAATAATATCTGAGGACAGCTTTTTTTTTAACTTTTTGATTATAAATACTATTAATATGTGATACATATTCCTCTGGAGTTTTATGAGAGGCTGGTACCTTCACTGATAAAAACGATGGAAAGAGAGTTGGAAAAGCATCTTTTTTAAAGCTGGAGGCTTTCTTGGAAGTACATGCTCTACTTTAGATTTGTTTGTGTAGTTATCAGATACAATAATATCAGAGGTATGAAAATGTTTCACACAAACTACACTGCTTTTTCCAGGAGTCTAATTATTCAGTGGAATTTTATTCAGCCATCATGCTCTTAAATGCGAATCTGAAAAAAATTTGAACACACTTACATATCTACGAGAAGGATCATAATTTAAGTGACACTTAGGTACAGAACATTTAGCATGCATAGTTAATAACACTTAACACTTCAGAACAGATTATTTCCGAAATGTAACTAGAAGCAATGCAATTACACACGGCGTAAACATCAGTTCCACTTTCCCCCCGTGTGGGTTCCGGGGCCCCATTGTGGGGAAAACAAGAATAGACCCACTGCCTCCCCAAAAGCATGTCGTAAGAGTCGACTAATTGGGGAGCTTCCTTTGAAGTCGGAGTGCATCTGCCAGAGAGGCAAGGAACCAACAGTCTGTATTCAAGAGAATGAGATCTGTAAAACTGATGCACACGCAACACTCAGATTCTGGAGCAGGACTGCAGTTCAGTAGTGGACGAGCAACCAGAACTTTCCGCCAGAGTGTACAGCTGGTGAACATGAAGAAGAAGAGTTCCACTTTCAAAATGACGGGTCAGTTCACCTTACAGATCAGATTACCTTAATGCTCTCAGCTGATCGGGAGTGCCACATCGCCTGTAATTGAGAATGCTTGGATGAAGCCTGAGTAAGTCCTAACACTTGTGTTTTGGGAAGTAATGCCCATGAAGGCCCTTCAGAAACTTTGGGCACATGATGCTACTCCTTTTCCTGCCTCTAGTTATGTTTCGGTTGCTATGATGCAACAGTCCTTTTTGCCATTGTTGGGCACATGTAACACCACTCGAAAAATGGATGTAAAATCACAGAACACATCAAACTGTCTCGAAAGCCATCACTCAGCCCAAATTTGCAAGAAATGTGAGAAGCAATCTGACTGGCTGGTACAAAAACCAGCCAGTCAATTTCAAGGCTTGCATTATATAGGGGCGACCGATCAGCTCATTTGTCTTTTTAGCTATTTTGTGTTAGGCCGATAAACTGGCTACGTCATCTCCAAAGGATTAGTGACCCTGGTGTGGTCGTATTTTCTTTTGTTGAAGCGAAGAAGGATGTAAACAGAAAAGAAAACAGACATACTGCATTACCCTCTATATTAGCCTTTCCTAAAGGGGAGCTGGGACCGTCTAAGACAGTGTCTCCCAAACTTGTTTTGCCCATCGCTTCCCTTTTCAGTGAAAAAGTCACCCAGCGTTCCCCTCTCCTTGGAAATATAATTATCATGTGCCACACACACAAAAAGGCATAAACGGTCATCATACGCCATATGCTCCTGTCCCCACCCCATGCATGCTGCCAAGTGATTAAGTTTTTTATCTCTTTGCTTCCCCCATCAACTTTCTATCAATTTTACTAGCTGTCACCAAGTTTGCATGTCCATTCCTTGCTTTAAAATATACCCTCTGTAACAAACAAACAAAAAATGTTTTAAAATTATGAGACAGCTGGAGCTGCATGGATTTTCATGTAGTCTTTGTAAGCTCTGTCTTTCCATTTCTAGGAATCCATAGTGGTGGGCTGGAATTCACTGCTAGGCTGGTTCCATTTTCGTGGACAGCATTCTGATGTTGCTTTTTTTAAGGTTTCATAGTTGATGCTGTCCTGTTTAGAGTGAGTAGCATGGGAGATTGATATTACTTTTGTGAATATGTAAGCTTTTTATTTAGTTATTTGGAATCTGCTAATCTGACAGAAGTTCTGCCTCTGCTCTGTTGGTGCGTGCCAATATTGTGTCTCTGTGGTGCAATAAGTGTATGATGTAGATTCACCCAATACCTTTTTGTGTGCTTTCTTTACCAAAATCGTCTTTAAACATATGTGTGTCTAAATATTGGAGTGATACTGATTTCTGAGTATACAAAGTGAAAAAAAAAAACTCTGTTGTGACAGTTTGGGAGAGGGGGAGGGGGGGGGGAATTATTCCTATTATTCCTTAGACTTCTAGATCTGTACTGGATAAGAATCGACAATTAATCCATAGTTCTGATATTAGAGCTTCACACATCGTTATATCAGGTTTTAAATTTGCATAAAAAATTTTTCTTGATAGTTTTTTCTTCATAAAATGCATTGTACAACAGATGGTTTGGAAGCCTCTTAAGATTTTTAATCTAAGTACTGTCTGTGGGGATGCTGTTAAATGTAAACCCATATTTTTAATATGCATAGGTTTTGCAAGTTCGTTTTTACTGTTTCAGTCCATAAGATTGAGCCGTATTCCATAAAAAAAAATGCTAACTACTCCAGTTTAGACTAGTTCTGTACTGGCTCCTCAGTATGTTCCATCCAGTTTCAGTTTTTCTTTTCATTTCAATGAGTCTTTTGATTTGATCTGATTTTTTTTTTTAGTTTGGCTTCCAGGTAAGCCTGGTGTCTAGTGTAACCCCCCCTCCCCTCCCGCTTTCCCTCCACCTAGGAAGTAAATCTACGATATTTATTTGTTTTCTAACATTAGGACTATCATTTTTGTGTGGGTGAAGAAAATATACTATTCCTGTAAGTTTTGTTTGTTTTAGTTTTAAACTGATATGACTGAGCTTCTTTATGACAGTAGTCGGTAGTACTGTCTCTGTTATCACATAATTTTGGACAGCTTCACAAAACCTGTCATTCCACAATGCACTTATAACTTCAGATGGAGAAGTGCAAAGGGGAGAAGACTAATCTTACTTATGCCAGGATGAAGCTATGGAATATGAAAACAGTTATGGCAGGGTGGATTACACCCCCCTCCTTTTTCCACTGAGCGCCCTAAAATTTGATCCACAACGACCCCTCTAGACAAATTCCAGCCTGATCAAAAGGGGGGGGGGGAGTGTTTAAACAATTTATATCAATAGAATACATGTAGACATACAAGCATTTTTTCTTACTGTGATGGATTTGTATGTTGCTGATAATATGAAGGCTGTGTTATGAATCCCTGGCCAGTAGTCATTTGATTCCGTTCACAGGTAGTAGTAGCAAAGTCAGAACCTCTTGGAAGCTGGACCATTTCTGAAGAAGCTGGCCTCATGCTGCAGTAGGGTTGACTACACCTTGGAGCAGCCAATGATCCTAATATGTTTGCTTGAGCATAATGACAGACAGCTCCATCAGTACATGAAGGACTTCCAACTGATGAAACAGATGAAAGATTTTGGTGTCCTGCATGACATTTATCAATGGGATTGTCCCTGACATGGTCAGCAGGCCAGTTGTAAGATAAGGAAGTTTGCCACCGTAAGTCTGATTTTTGAGGAGTTGGTGTAGGTCTGTAAGATTTCATCTGTTGTAAAAAAGAAAATAGAAAAAAAGTTATTTTAAAATAGATCTGATTATCTCAAAATATCCACATATTCAACCATGGACATGCTCACCTTCATTTTGTATTGCTTGCACACTACAGATAATGCAGATTTATGGTCTTGCAATATCTTCTCTTCATTGTGAGTGAGAATGATTATAATCAATCCATTTTCATGTAAAAGCATCCCTTGGCAGATATCATAGCTGGGCCATGCAGTGTTAGACTTTCACTTAATGATTTAAGGTACCAGTTTTTTCCTCAAATTATTCCCTCTAAGACAATTTCCCCTAGTTACTTCAAAATATCCAGTGTCCATTTATGAAACTGTGTAGACCCCATGTGTGTGTTTCAAAAATAAACAACCCAGAAAATGGTGAAGACTGAACTTAGACCAGTTTACTTAGTAACCCCTGTTATAAACGACTCTAATGGCAACTGTGGTGATAAAGTGATCAACCTATCTACCTAGGGGAAGGGGGAAAGGATCCATAAAAAAAAAAACCCAGGAACTATCAAATGTGTGCTTTGTGCCACACTACAAAGAACCAGACACTGTGTGAAGACAGACTAAGTTACACCCGATGAAACCTGGTATTATGTTGAATGTTCAATTAAGAATTGACATCACAGCACTCGGGACACACCCATAAGCACTTTGTCTTCATCTTCAGCAGCAAAAGAAGAGTTGTAATTCCAATGGAACAAGTATCAGTATGACTGTATATGCGTCTCGCCCTAACCCTGAGTGTTCAGCGTCTACCAGATCCCCTGGTAACTGCTCACAGCGCCATTCTCTTCAGACTGTTATGATCTATCAGTGCCTCCGCACTGTTCACTCACTTCCAAAGGCCCCTTACAATATTTAGCTTTTCATACGTCAATTCACCACCAAGTGGTGTAGAGCCTGCCAGTCTATCTGCCTGCTCATTTCCCAACACGCCAGCATGAGCTGGAGTAAATATCCAAAGGATGCTACCTACCCGGGACCTCTGAAGTCTTGCTTGCCATTCTGAATGGAACATGCCTGTCTCCACCTTTCACAACATGCTCTGTGAGTCAGTTACAATCACAGCATGTATGTACAGCTGATTCTCAAGCTAGCGGAAGTTAGCAGAGACTGCCTTCACCTCTATTCTCAAACTAGAAGTTGTAATATCACAGGCAAGGCTTTGTTGCACTGAGCGACATTCATTCGCTTTTCCTATGAACCTCCATGCACTTCATTTGCCTCTCAACACAGAGCCATCACATGAATCATTTGTTGAACTTCTGATTCTGCAGCATCAGCATGCCAGTCCCTGCACTCATGACCTTAAGGAATGAGGACCCTACACAAGTCTGAATCTTGTTCGCACACTGTGACCCACTCCTCTCCTCGCCCAAATATTTCAAGCCTGCACACATGTTCAATTATGTCTTTTGCTGATGCTATCCAAGACCTTCCTCTTTTCAGTCTGTGACCCTAAGCTCTACCCAGGGCTTCATGCAGGAGGTGCTTCTCGTCTGCAGCTACCCTGAGATACCCTGAATGGTATCATATAACTGTCTATCATTGATCACTTCATATTAACCATTGATCATTGTTTATTCAGTACATTTTAGATAGAGTTCATGATTATGATTATATCTGCTTGTATGTTTCATCATGTCGGCTCTGTGGCTAAGTCGATGCGAACGCTTCGCTTTGTAATGCCAGGATGCCAGGTTCGATCCCAGCTGCGGGCAATGCACCTTGCGTTGGTTTCGACAGTGGTATCAAGAAAGCCGACCGTCCAGAAAGCAATGGCAAACTACTGGATGCAAATTGCCTAGAGAAACCACACAACAGCCAGGGGCTGTTAGGGTTGGTTCTGCAACTAACATGTTTCATCATTTGAAATAAATTGTAGAACACTGAATGTTGACCTCATATCATTGATAGTTATGCTAGTGACTGAGTGTAAAATTACTTCACATCATTTATAGGCGTAATTTTTTTGCTACTATAGTATTCTATAGGCTGTCAGTCTGGTAGGCTGCTTTGATACATTTATATATCTGTGCTACTGTAGTAGTCTACTCTGTTTCCCAGTTTACTGTACCTTGCTTCGACATATCTGTTTAAACCCTGACAGGAATTATAATATCCATCTCTAAATAGATCTAAATAGATAGAATGGTCATACGTACCGAGTACCGTGAAATCTGCATAAAATGTGGGTTAGCAGACGGCATGGTAGGGGCACAGTTAGAGACATTTGTTAACTACAGTATGGGACAATGGGATGAAAGGATTGCCTGGGTTGCTGCAGAGGAGAGGCGCCAGCATGAGATGGAAGAAGAGAGAGAGAGATACAGCGTATAAGAGAACTCAACAGAAAGCGCCAGCTGGAGAGAGATGGATGTAAGATGCAGCAACAAATTCTAAGAGAAGAGCATGAGAGAGAGTTGCAGCGTATGAAAGAAGAAGACGAGGAAAGCCACCAGGGTGAGATAGACAGCAAGAGATAGTATCAACTTATAAGAGAAGAACTCCTCAGAGAGCTGAAGCAGTTCGACAAAGAAGACGAGAGGAAGCGACAGACTACTCAAGAAGAATATGATAGAGAAAGGCGGCTTGAACAGCAAGCAGAAAATGGGGATGATACTATGAGTGCAGTCGAGGGAACCACACCTCAGTGTGACTCTCAGGCACAGATTGTAGAGGTCCAACCTCCCAATTTAGAAGTGTGCACCCCTACTCCCTAAAGTTTAGAAACTAGGGATAAGGATGAAGACAACCTCGAAAAAGACAGATAGTACCTCAAACCTACCATCCCAAAAGGGATACTAGGTAAATAGAAGAACTTTTCTTAAAAGGAACGGATCTACAGTGTGAGACCCCTCGGGTCCAGTTTTAAGCCAACAAGGAAAAGATGGAACAAGAAAAAGAAATCTTCAAAAGGGACCAGACCTACATTGCTGGGACTCCTTACTTCCATTAGCTCAGACGAGCAAAATGAGAAAATTCCTCTCGCCCGGAAACGGAACCGTGGAAGGAAAAAGCATGCAGTGGGTACCGTTAATAGTCACGAGCATGACAGCAGAATCAGGGAAGCTACACCAGATTTCTTCAACCCTTCAAGTTTTTCAAAGAAAGACGAAGGGAATCCTCACATTCGGAAATGGAATAGTAGGACAACGAGAACCCCAAGCACAGGTGACAGTAGTCACACGAATGAGGACTGCCATGTCTACAGTCACAGTGGTTTGACCACCACACCAGCCACTAGTGGGAGCGAGGGCAAGACCTTATGCGACTCTCATATATCCTTCCGTTCAACTGAACAAGAAGAAGAAATTGAGGCTGAGACAGAGAATGACAGGGCACCTTCTTCTTTGGTCCTCTTCAGTGCGGCTGCACATGGAGAGAGAGTTAATCTCAGTGCTGACCACAACCCCCAAGTGGTTGACTACATTGGCAGTAACATGCCCCTTCATTTATCTTCACTGGACTATTCATCAGAAAGCCCGACCATGAAGAAAGTGAAAACTCAAAAGGAGAAACCTCCCAATATCATCTCAGAGTGCCTACAAGAGGAAACTCTGGAAGTACAGGATATTCCTGTAAATCTCAACATGGACAGTGACACTGGACAGACCAGGATGTCTGCCTACACTAGAGACGAAGCCGCTTTTGTGAGACAGTGGGTGGAAACTTGAAAAAAAAGTAATGCCACCTTATCACTTTTGAGGACCCATTAGTGTTTGAATGATCTGCAGTTCATACACTGGCCAGACACTTGCACACAGTGACTCTGACTGTGACACAATCTTTGAAGAATGTAACCGACTAGGCGGTTGTCTAGGTAAGGAGAGAAGACGGCAAGAAAGGACAGAACTATTGCGCTACCGAGAACAAGGCAGTGGCAAAGTCTGGTTACAACATGGGATAATGATGTGTGACAATACCCCTCCTATAAAGAGGAGATTGACAGATTTCAGCAGGACTGGTGCACGACGGAGGAAAAGAGTGGTGACAAAACTTACTGTGACCCATCTGTTTAGAAAAAACTTCAGTCCCTCCCTTTACAGATAGGGCGGAGCCGAGGGACAGCAAATGTATATCAGTGCCGCAGAGAAGAGGGGTTGATTAAAAATGGAGTTCCTGGAATGTGGAGAAAGAAGGAACCTCCAGAAAATAGGACAACAGTGAGCGGCTGCTTGGAATGCCCGCATGATTCTAGGAATAAAGACTTAGCCTGGAAGAAATGGACATATGGTGACTGTACACCGATGCAGGATATCACGATTCCACAAGGAATACTGGCAAAGGAAACAGAGGGACAGAATGGAGCTGAAAAGTGTAATAACGTTCTTGGAAATAACTGAGTGTCTAAACATTGGCCGTAGCGGGAAATGACCAAAATTCAACTGTGGGCATCTGTGACGAAATGACCTCAGTGGTCTCAGAAGTTATATGCCGTTTAATAATTTCTTATGTTCATAAAGAGACAAAGAACTTTATTCAATACGCACTGAGCCTAAATAGTACTAAAAACCACATGGGTCTGGTAGACGACTCCAGACATGATGGTGTCCCCTGACAGGCGTTTCACACCTGTCAGTGAGATTGGCTGGAGAACTGATGTTTACCAATTAAGAATGTTTGGTCTTAGTAAAGGCTGTCCACATTGAATGACAGGCACATTGATAGCTATTTTGATCTGTAAGGTACCTCAGGGGCGTGGCTTAGACCATCTTCTGTAGGGTAGGTTAGAAACTAGAGAAGGGGAGCAGTTTAACCTTGCAGACAGATAGATAAGTATTTATACTACTAGCATTTGAACTTTACCTCATATCGCTGCCAGCAGGCCACAAACTCAGATTCTAGCTGTTTGATTCCTGTTTGGCAATTGCTGGAATGTTCCCAGGTATGCTTGTATAATTATTTTCAATCTTTTAATCATAAGTTAGGGAGTTAGCTAAGTCTATTCTACCTTTTTCTAATTTTGCTACAC